AAAAAAAAAAAAAAAAAAAGGAGGAAGTATTTTTAGATTTTTCTCTCTTCTCTACCTTTCCCTTTTCCATTCTACTGCGGGGGCAGCCAAAGTTAAAATCATAAAGATAAACTTTTTACAAACAACAACAAAAAAATCCTCAAAAAGCCATTTTTTGGGGAGGAACCCTATTTTGATGAAAATGTAGTGAACACGGATGGGCTATTCAGCCATTAGGGGGCTCCTATACATGTGCAGGAAGCCTGCTCCCGTTCTGCTCCCAACTTCTGGAGTGGAAATGAATGCGCTCCAGCAAACTCTAGCACCATGTGTAACAGCGTCCCCGCGCTGAAAAATGGCAGCGGGATGCTTTGAACTAAAGCTAGTTCGATGAACTTTAGTTCAAAGCATCCTGCTGCCATTTTTCAGCATGGGAGACACAGATCCACATGACGTTCAGGTGCTTTTAATTAGCATGGCTCACTACTTAAAATGCCCCCCTCTGCATCCCAGAGCAAGTGTAAAAATGCCCGAGGTTCCCAGTGCAGCTGGTTTTGGGTGCGATATGACAACAGCATGCAACCAAAAACTTTAGTTTCTCTATGCAAGCTCTTCATGCCGGTTTTTCTATGTTGGTAGTTTTTGGCCGACTTTGAGCTTCTCAGTATAGATAGTGAAGGCAGCAAGGGCTAGGGTTAGGCTCAGCAGTCTTTTGTACTTGGGTCTAAAACAAGAAATGGAGCTATGCCTTGTACAAGGTGGATGAGGCTGAGGTTCCACGAAGTCACCTGGCGAGAGGTCATTATTGCCATTGAGGTCATCTCTGAACTATATCTGACCTTGGCACGTCTATCTCAAATTCTGCGATGAAGGGTGGCATAATAAAACTTGCAGATAGGAAGGTAAATGATGGTCAGGTCTTTCTTTTTATTTTGTTAATAAACATTAAGCAAGGAAGTGCCTCTTTTCCCTCCATTCGCTTCCCCACAAAGTATTACTGTTTTGTTTTTACAGGGCACGGCTTTCCTCCAATCAGTTCAGGCCCAAACTATAGATCCCAAAACCCTTGTGTATAAACTAAAGCCCACAAGCCTTCAAAGAGGCATTTATATATGTGTGTATATTTTTGGCTGAGGCACAACACAAAGACTTTTTTACTTTCATAACAATTTGAAGACCACAGTGGTGAAGGCAAACTATATGCGGAGTAAAGTGGCTTTTGATTTATAGCCGCATCTCTGGGTGGCTTTCTTTTAAAGAAAGATGCTTTCTGAGACCTTTTTTCTTAGCTTTTGCAAAGGACATGCTCCATCCTTCACTTGCCTGTGCTGTGATTTCATTAAAAGCATTATCAAACTGATAACTTTAAGTACCTTAACGGTAGCTGTATTTAAATGCTTGTTTCAAATTCACCAACACAGGAGCTCAGACACTTCACTTGCACATTCGTCTTGAAAACTGTGACCCTTGAAAATTAGGTTTAAAGAAACATTTATCATTGATTCCCTCCCCTCTTTCACTCTCCTCCCCTCCTCTCCCCCTCCCCAAATATTTAAACCGGTTGGATATTGCATTCAGTGTCATGAAATTTTGTTATTGAATCACAGTTTTTCTTTATGGGGTTTTTCTTCTTAACTAGTAACATCTTCTGTTTGCAGGAGTCTTGGATTTTTTTTGACATTTAGACCTTCTTCCCAATGAAGTCAACGTAGGACATAATAATAGGTCTGATTTTTTCAAAGCAACTCCTTAAACAGTGTGAGCAGACCTTGAGACAAAACCTATTTTGCCTATTGTGAGTACAAAAAGCTCTGTTTGGCTTTGGAAGATGTTTCTGCATGTGGAAAGACATAAATCGGTAAAGTCGATGCTAAGCCTAGCACTTGTGTTTTGGCCCTCAAAACTTAGTTGAATACTTGAATGTGGGCAGTTGTTTCCTTTATACTCCCAAGCACTTGCGTTTTGAGCCTCAAAACGTACGTGAATACTTGAATGTGAGCAGAGCAGTTGTTTCCTTTACTTTCAAATTGTTTCCTGAAACCAACCATTAATCTACCGTACTCGCACTTTAAGGCATAATTAAAAGCCACAGTTGAAAGCTGGAGTTCTTGAGATAATGGCAGTGGTGTGAGAGATTCTATTCAGATTTAATTTACACTGTTCTTTCCCATCATATTAACCACAATAT